ATCCGCCCCACTCTCTCCTGTGTCAAGGGCTTTGTGTCTTTCTTCTTTCTAGAGAGTTGCCCATGTCATTGCTTAAGTAGGCCTCGCTGTATTCCCACCACTCTGAGTCCCATCTTCCCTCCCTAATCACCCACCCACTGCCCCCTCGTAAGAAATGTGTGGGTGTCTGGAGGTGGGGGGGGGCTGAGACCCAGAGAAGGGAGGGTGTTTTAACACAGCCCAGTGCCAGGTCAGACATGTAGGAGCAAAGAGCGCAGATCACAGGTACTGGATGGGGATTGTCTCCTGGAAAGTGGGGACTCTGCAAAGCATCCAGGGGTCATGGTGGAAGCCAACAGAACATGAGCTCCCAGTGCAATGCTGGAGCTGAGAAGATGAAAGCAACACTTGACTGGATAAACAGGAATATTGGGTAGCAGAGAGGAGGCATCACCTCTGTATACAATGTTATCGACACCTTTATGGGACACTGCGTCCAGTTCTAGGGTCCATGCTGCAAACAGGATGCTGAACAATTGGAAAGCGATCGGAAAAGATGGATCCGAGGTCTGGATCTCCTAGCGAGAGACTAAAGGAGCTCAGTCTATTTGGCTTATGACAGAGACGGCCAAGAGACGTGACTTGAGCAGGGTCTATACGGATCTGCGTGGGGAGGAGATTTCTGACAGCAGAGGGCACAGGCGCCGACTTTCATTTTCCCCACTCTGCCTCTTCCCCCAAGGCTCCACCCTTGCTCCACCTCTTTCTGCCCCAGCTCCGCCCCCTCCCCCAGTGCCTCCCACCCACCGAACCGCTGATTGGCGGGTGGCTGATGGGTGCTGAGCACCCACTATTTTTTTTCCGTGGGAGCTCCAGCCCCAGAGCATCCATGGAGTTGGTGCCTATGGCAGAGGGTGCTTCAGTCAAGCAGACAGAGGCAGAACGAGATCCAGTGGCTGGACGCTAAAGCGAGACAATTTCAGGGGGGAAATAAGGTGCAATGTCTAACCGGTAGAACAACTTACTAAGGGACATGGTGGCTTCTCCATCACATGGAGTCTTTAAACCAGGGCTGGATGTTTCTTTCTCAAACATCCACCCTAGCTCATACAGGAGTCATGGGCTGGGATCCCTGGGGGAGGCTCTCTGGCCTGGGCCATGCAGGAGCTCAGACTACATGGTCACAATGGTCCCTTCTGGCTTTAAACTCTATGAATCTGTGACCCAGACTCTCTCCTCTTTTCCCCCCAAAGGTTTCACCCTGACAAGGACGGCCAATACGCAGCCGCGGTGAGCCTGCCCCAGGCAGCGTGTAATCTCCTCCACGAGGAGCAGCTGAAGATGTATCTGAATGAGACAGAGCTGAACGAGATGAAGGCTAAACTCAACAGCAAGGAGCTGTTCGAGGGCCAGAACGTCGTGGCTGCCCGGCCCAAGTTCCAGAAGAAGAACTCCACCCTGCACTCTGAGTTCCTGCTGCTCAGCCCGGACCAGAACGGCGTCAGCCCCGTCTCCCGCCTCCTGGACAAGACCCGGGGCCAGGAGACCTGCCCAGAAACCCACGTCCCATGCAAGGAATGCGGCAACAACTGCTACAAGAAGTGGTCCCCGGGCCAACCCTGTGGTTGGAACAGCTGCCTCATCTTCTTCACCAAGAACTCGCCGTGCCTGGGCACCTGCCTTAACGACTCGAGCTGCTTCTACATCCGGGACCTCATGGACGGGGTCTTCGGCGCCATCAACAACAACTTCCGGGCATTGGCCTTCCGGCAGGTCTACCCACCAGACAAGGTCCAGAAGCGGAAGGCATTGTGGGAAGCCTGGCAAACCATCCAAAACGCCCCAATGTACAAGTGTGATAACAACGGCTGTGCCAGCTGTGAGGAGAAGAGCCTCAGCCAAAACCCCTGCCTGGAGGGGGTGCCGGAGATGGGGGAGGTGCCACAGAGAGCCCATGGGTGACGGGATCCCAGTGGGGATGAGTTGGCTGGCTGGGATACAACAAGTCAACACACCAGTCAATTCATCTCCCTTACATACCCCTCTGTCTCTCTGGCTAACACATCCGCCTCTGTGTCACACCCTCTATCTAGCCATTGCCATAGATACTGGGGGGGGGCCCTGCAATCCTTCCCCCTTGCTCTCATTTCTAGGGTGCCCACAACCGTGGTACGGCAGTCCTGGATTTGCCCTGTGATCTCTCTCGCTCTGTGTAGTGCCGCAGCCCCATCTGTGTCATGTGTGTGCAATTCCAACGTGGAGCGCTGAGTACAAACAGGGGTGGCACAGATGGGACGTGTCAGTGGATGGGGCAGATGGGGGGTACGATAGGAAGGGGTCGGGGTGGCAGACCGGGGATGGGATATGGCGGGGGGCGGGTCAGACGGGGGATGGGATGTGGCGAGGGGCAGGGCAGAGCAGGGATGGGACGTGGCGAGGGGCAGGGCAGAGCGGGGATGGGACGTGGCGAGCATGGGACAGACGGGGATGGGATGTGGCGAGAGGAGGGGGAAATGCGGGATGGAACATGAGGTTGGGCCAGACGGGGGTGGGGGATGGGAGGTGGCGAGGGCTGGGCAGACTCCAGGCTGGAGCGTTGTCCCCATCCGGGTGGGGCTGGTTTGTCTCACGCTGGAGGTGAAGTTGCCGATTCTCTGCCATATGAGCAAGGCCAATAAAGCTTCAGAACTTCCCGGGGCCTCACGTCTCTATCTGTCTTCCTGGCACCCGTGTCTCTGTCCATATGTCCGGCTCTCTCCAACCCTGTAGGGCTAACCAGAAACGGCACTATCAGAGGATGCGGGAGGAGGCAGAACATGTCCGTCTGTACTTCAGTGAGAGTGAATTTCTCTGTCTGTGCCAGCACAATGCAACAAAATGAGACAGCTGGGCTCTGGCCCATTGGGAGCGGGGCCGGTTCACACCAGCTGAGATCTGGCCCATTGACTCCAAGGGAGCAGGGCCGGTTCACACCAGCTGGGATCTGGCCCATTCAGGGCGGCTTTAGGCCGATTCAGCCGATTCGGCTGAATTGGGCCCCGCGCCAAGAGGGCCCCGCGCCAAGAGGGCCCCGCGCTGCAGCTCTCCACCCCGCCCCCAGCTCACTTCCCCGGCCCCTCCTCCCCTCCTCTGAACGCTCCGCCCCCTCCCCTGCTTCCCGCGAATCTCTGATTCGCGGGAAGTCTGAAAAGAAGCAGGGGCGGGCTGGCAGGACAAGGTAAGCTGGGGTGGTGGGGGCGCGAGAAGGGCTCCGGGGA